CCAAGGTCATCGCAGAGGCTGCCAGCGCTGAGATCCGACTGCTGAAACCCTGAGTCCTACCCTCCGCGCCAGAACAGATTCTTTCTGTTCCACACAGGATCAGGGGCTGTTGCTCCTTGCTTTCCTTGCCCTTGGGAGTGACCCTCCAGACTGCTGGCGGGTTGTGCAACTTGAGCGGGGTGCCGTGCGGAGGTGAGGAATGCGGCTGTTTCTCAGACACTGGCTCGGGGCTCATGGGCGGAAAGGCCGGGCACTGGAGCCGGCTGCAGCCGGAGGAAGGGTGGCCTCACCTTGGCTCGGCTACATGTCCTCGGAAGCCAAGAAGTCACCGAGTGATTTTTAGGTTTTTAAAATTTATCTCTCAAGTCTGTCCCAAAGCCCAAAGCTTGCAACATCTTATTTCCTGTTTGGGGATTTCCTGAAACTGAAGCCGAGGTGCTGGCCTCTGTAAGGAAGCCCATGGAAAGGCTTCTCTGGAACTACGTGCATCCGCCTCACTGCGCAATGGGCCTCGCCGACTCAACGCTCTTCACACATCTCACAGAGCAGTTTTCATTCTTCCTCTCCACTACCCACACCCCCCTGTGCCTTGCCACTGTCACTCCCCCTAACTTTCTGAAAATGTGAAAGCCTCCTATTGCAAAGTTTATTGGGGGGTGTTGCTTTTTCAAAAGATGGTGTAGGAGTTTGGGGGAGCCACGTTACCCTCTATAATAGCAAAACTGAAGGAAAGTTTAGATAAGCATCAAAGTAGAAGGAATCGCAGACTTGATTAATGGTGTCTGGGTTCCTTAGACCTGGGACTTGTATGAGGGGATGGGCGTGATAACAAGGTATAGGATATGACATCACATGCTATTTCCTTTGAACTTGAAAGCTGGCTTTCCATAGCTGTGATCACGGTTTACTACAGTGCCACTTCCAAGGTCCCAACGTTATTTTTTCTGAGTTTCTGTTGTTCGCACAAATACACCACCATTACTTCATGGTCCTTCGTGAGCTTTGCTGTGCCAGCTCCCACAACGGGGAAGCGGAAATACTTGTTTATACAGAATTCCATGAGCACCCTGCAAACAAGTCAGGTGAGGTACCACCAAACCTAGGCCTTCCCAAAGATGAGAAGGCCAACATATGGGCTTTCCCATGTTTGATACATTCAAACCAAATTATTTAGAATTCCAATATCACAAGGAAGTTTCTGAAAAAGAAACAGATGTACTGACAAGCACAGACACAGGCTCCCTTCCACTAATAAGGAATTTATTTTTTTTAATTTTTATTGATTGACTCAAGGGAGGGAGGGGGAAGGGGAGGAAAGAGGGAGGAAGGGATAGAGGGAGAGAGAAACACTGATTTATTGTTCCACTTATTTATGCATTCATTAGTTGAAGCTTATATGTGCCCAGACCGGGGACCGAACCCAAAACCTTGGTGCATTGGAATGACACTCTAACCAAGTGAGCTACCTGACCAGGTTCATCTTTATTTTAAAAGCTGTAAGTGTAGAACTGGGTGGTTTTTTTCATATCAGTGTTGAAAAGGAATATTTTATTTCTTCCGTGGTACTACAAAGAATTGCAGCACAGGAGAAACAACGTGAACAAACAACGCAATCATGGGTTTGAAACTTGGATCTGCCCTTCGTTAGTGATACAGCATTGGGTGCATGTAATTGCTATGTCCTGCTTCACGATGTTAGGTAATAAAAGAAAATCACATTTTTAAAATTATGAGCTACCATCCTTCCTATCTGAAAAAGATTTTTATCTCCCTTTCTAATTACTCTAAGAACTTTAGGGGCCATTCTCTACCACCACTACTGCTCTCGAGCCACACATATTTCTCTTTATTAAACCTCTTTTCACTTCCTTTTGCTTCTCCTTCCTCTGCTTCCTCCCCCTCCTCATTCTCTGTCTCAGAGATTCATATCACACACATACACACACACACACACACACACACACACACACACATATGCCCCTCAGTGCCTAAAACTAACCATCCTCTGGATCGGGTGTCAAGCCTGAATCACCGCCCAGACTCCCTTCTCTCAAACAGTGTGTCCCTGCTCAGGGGTGCTGGTGTCTTCTCCGGCAGGTGCCTTCCTGAGGGTCTCTGCAGTCCACCAGAGATATTCTAATAACGTTAAACCTCATCAGGGGCCTGTGAATCTGATATGAGAAAGCAATCTGATAACTCCAGATTATGGAATATTCTATGAGACAAATGGCCTTGACTCTTCAAACATGTCAGTGTCACAAAAGACCAAAAACAAAGCAAAAGGAAACAAGGTAAAGCTAGAGAACTCTTCTAAATTAAAAGAGATTAAAGATATATAAGAGATAAATGCAATGCATGGTCCTCAACTGGGTCTTGGATTGGAAAGGAAAAAGAAACAGCTACAATTACTCATCCCTGCGGAAACTGGGAATATGGGCCGTGTATTAAATATTATTGTGTCATTGTTTGATTTCATTGGTGTGATCATGGTATTGTGGTTATTTAGAAGAAAGCTCTTCATCGAAGATAGAGGGGAGAAATGTCTCAATGTCTGCCACTTACTTTCAAATGGCAAAAAAATTAAAATGCCATGCACTGGTGACTCTAACTGAAGAACAGTGAACTGTTAAGTATATGACTCTTAAAACTTTTTTGCAGCGCTAAAACTTTTTCCAAATAAGAGGCATGGGAAAACAGGCTCAGTAATGAGAGGAGAAAAGGTCTCTAAATCTCAATAATTTTGCTCCCAAGAGAACCAAGGGCTCCTATTCTCCTCAAATTTCTACTTGTTCCCGTAATAGCTTTTGACTTTTCCATAAATAAGGTACTTGATGAAGATGCTACCCTTTCCAAACCCCAAAAATTCCTCCCTTCCTCCAGAACGAGGGGAACCCACTTTCCTTGCATCACCATATGAGAAGGGATTCATTGAGAGGTCCTTGCCAGAGCAGATCATCTCCACCCAGGAGACCTAAGAGATCTCCACCACTACAAGAAGCAGCTACTAATACACCCTCTCTCCATTTAAAAAAAAAAAACTTTAAAATTTCACTCCACCATGGTTAAATGGAGTTTTGTTTTATATTATAAAAGCAAGGGGGGGGGG